AAGCCCCTAAAGAATAACATCTGTAGCAACTCAACAAAAGACATAATTCGGAAAAAAAATGGACATGGTAAACTGATAACAGAAGATAACAGTATATTGTGCTGTTTTTCAGGATTCAGATGGCTCCATTCTCACATCACACTCAACTTCTTCTATGATTATCAAGCATTCCCAAATTTCACTTGAATTTCTGTGTGGGTCCAGAATGTTCTAACTGATTTTTTGGCATTCCATCAAACGTTATGGTTCCCCCCAAATATGCTGATTCCTCCCATGTAGACAATGCAATTGGATGAATAATTGATGATTCCAGATGATCCTAGTAAGAATTGAAAAAAAGACATTGAATGAGAATGAATGGCAAAGACAAGTAAGTAATTTTATTTGGTGAAATAAAGACTCAGGTTTCAACTGAAAGCAAAAAAAGAAAAAATGGAGTGACTATACCAAATTTTAAGATATACTATTAAACTAGTTGATTGACCTGGATTACAGATTGGATTACATCACTATACAGTTAGATTAGGTCTATAGAAGGAGTAGGACTCTCGGTATGGCTGCATAAATATCTCTGATCTGATATAAATAGAAATGTTCAGGTCATAAGACCATTTGATTATTAATAGCTTATTAAAAGTATGGGATAAATAGAAGAATAAACCAGGATTTATTACCTTAAATATTTATTTTCTTGAAGGCAAACATGCTATTTTGATTAGTGGAGAGATAATTTGTATAAACTGCAAGATTTAACTTTTAACAAAACAAAGGTGAACTCTTTTAAGACTCTCCTTGGAATGGTCAGAAATGCTTCATTAGTTTTAACAGCTTCTGATAAGCAGTGTAGTTCAAAAGAAATTACAAAAACAAGGTGAAACACTGAGAGGGCTTATACACAGTGTAAGGGAGAAGGGCTGTCAGTGTTGCCTCCTGGCGATTGCCTGGACAAGTCCTTGCAGTTTTCTTGGCAAGGTTTTTCAGAAGTGTTCTGCCCTTGCCTTCTTCTTCCTAGGGCTGAGAGAGAGGGACTGG